TAAGAGCTAGTGGCCAGGAGGAAGACTTGCAGAATGTGCCCTTTGGAGATGTAAATTATTATATATGCCAGAGTGTTTTGTTTGTTTGTTTTTTTAAAAACGCTAAAGTGGATAGAGACAAATATTGTTAACTGGTTGTACATGGTGAGGATTATAATCATTATAATGAAACAAGGTGTATGATTAGTTGAATGTAAAACTGATGATATGCCCTGTAAACTTTCACTCAATCCACAATAAAAACCTTAAAAAAAAAAAAGCACAACCTATGCAAACTAACATGGTGAAGTAGAAAAACTCGAAGAGACTTATAACAAAAGGATAAATTGATGAGGTTATTTTAAATATCCCAACAAAAGTATCTAGACACAGATGACTTTATTAGTGATTCTATCAAAAATCCAGAGACAAGTTGCCAAAATTTGTACTCAAATTATTGAGGTCAAAGAAAAGGATTCAAAACTCACAAATACAGTGTATAAAACAAGTATAGTCCTCATACCTATACCAGGAAAAAACATCACTAAAGAAGAAAATTATAGACCAATATGCTTCATAAATGCATATGTAAAAACTCAACAAAATTCTAGCCAATTGAATTCAACAACATATCAAAAAAACAAAAACAAAAACAAAACAAAACAAAAAACCCATCATGATCAAGTAGGATTTATACCAAAGATTTAAGGATCATTCAATATTAGAAAACAGTCAATGTAATCCACTATATAAATAAAACAAAGAAAAACTACCACATGATAATAAAATTTGATGCAGAAAAGTCATTTGACAAAACACAACATCCATTCCTGATGAGGACACACACCAAAGTAAAAATAGAGGGGAAATTCCTCAACATAATTTATAGCAAATATTCAATTAAACAGGCAATGTTATCCTCAATAGAGGGAAACTGAAAGTATTCCCTTTGCTAAGAGTGACCAGACAAGTACATGCTTTATCACCAATCCTATTAAATATTAGTTTAAAATTTTCTCAGGAGCTATAATGCAAAAAAGGGAAATTAAAGGCATCCACATTGGCAAGCCAGATTCAGAAGAGGACGTGGAATGAGAGATATCATTGCTGATGTTCAATGTATCTTGGCTGAAATCAGAAAATAGCAGAAAGATGTTTACCTGTGTTTTACTCACTATGCAAAGGCTTTCCATTGTGTAGATCATGACTAGCTATGGACAAAATGGCGAAGTATGAGCATTCCAGAACACTTAATTGTGTTCATGAGGAACCTTACATGGACCAAGAGGCAGTTGTTCTAATAGAACATGGGAACACTGAATAGTTTAAAATTATGAAAGGTGCCATGACAGGCTTATATTCTTTCACCATACTTATTCAACCCGTATGCTGAGCAAATAATCTGAGAAACTGGGTAATATGCAGAAAAATGTGGCATCAGATTTGGTTGAAGACTCATTAACAATCTGTGATATGCAGAGATGATACAACCTTGCTTGCTGAAAGTGAAGAGGACTTAAAATATGTAGTGATGAAGAGTAAAGAACACAGCCTTCAGTATGGATTGCATCTCAATGTCAAGAAAATAAAAATCCTGACCACTGAACCAATAAACTACATTCTTATCGATGGAGAAAAGATTGACGTTGTCAAGACCTTCATTCTTCTTGGATCAACCATCAACACTCATGGAAGCAGCAGTCAAGAAATAAACGACGTATTGCATTAGGCACATCTGCTGCACAAGCCCTTCTTAAATTGTTGAAGAGCAAAGATGTTAGCTTGAGGACTAACGTGCGCCTGATCCAAGCCATGGTATTTTCAATAACCTCTTATGCATGTGAAAGTTGGACACTGAATAAGAAAGACCATAGAAGAATTGATGCTTTTGAGTTATGGTGTTGGAGAAGAATGTTGAAAGTGCCACGGGCTGCCAAAAGAACCAATAGATCTGTGTTGGAAGAAGTGAAACCAGAGTGCTCATTGGAGGCCAGGACAGCCAAACTTCATGTCTCATATTCAGACATATTGTCAGGAGGGACCAGTCATTGGAGAAGGATATCATGTTTGGTAAGGTAGAGGGTCATAGAAAAAGAGGAAGGCCCCCTGCAAGATGGATTGGCAATATGGCAGTATCAATGGGCTCAAGTGTGGCAAAAATTGTGAGGATGGCCCTGGGCCGGGCAGTGTTTTCTTCTGTTGTGCATAGCTTCACTATGAGCTGGTACCAGCTTGATGGCTCCAAACAACAACAACAACAACAATAAATTGGCAAGGAATTAAAACTATCGCTATTTGAATATGATTTGATCCTATACATATAAAATTCAAAGACTCAGCAGTAAATTATTGGAACTCATTGAAAGATTTAGCAGAGTAGCAGAGTACTTTGATCAGTACCAAAAAATCAATTGGATTCCTCTATAGGGTCGCTATGGGTCGGAACCGACTCGATGGCACATAACAACAACAACAATATTAATTAAAACAGTTCTTCAAAGGAAATTAGGAAAGTAATACTATTTACAATAGCCACCCAAAAGATGAAATACTTAGAAATAAATCTAACCAGACAAACAGAAGACATATATAAATAAAACTGCACAACACAACTTCAAGAATCCAAAAGAGACTAACAAAAATCTAAAATTATACCATGATCATGGTTAGGAAGACAAAGCATTTTGAAAATGTCAATAGTACTCAAAGCAACCTATAGATATAACACAATTGCAATCCAACATCATTATTTAAATAGATGGATAAACTGATTTTATATATATTACCCTTTATATGGAAAGGAAAAAAGACCTCCCATAAGCAAAACAATGTTTAATAACAAAATTGGAGGCCTCTCACTCCCTGATCTCAAAATCTACTACATAGCCACAGTGATCAAAACAGTCTGTTATTGGTACAATGAAATATTTATAGATCAATGGAACAGAATTAGAAGTATATTCATCCGCATTAAGTCAGCTGATCTTTGACAAAGGCCAAAACACATTAAATGGAGAAATGGTAGTGTCTTCAATTAATGGGGCAGGCAAAACCGGAAATCCATTTGCAGAAGAAAGAAACAAGACTCATATTTCACACCATATGCAAAATCAAACTCAACATGAAATGAAGATCTAAATGTAAAACCTAGAACTATAGAGATCATTAGTGAAAAAATAGGGACAAATTTAGGGCCTTAAATACATGGCATAAATACACTATCAAAGATTACTAAAAACACACAAACAGTAGAAGACAAAATAGATGACCGTTTTGGGCATCCTAATAATTAGGATTTATGTGCCTCAAAGGAGTCGGGTTGTGGCACTATGGATTAATACCCTGGACTGCAAAGACAGTTTGAACCACAAAGTCAGTGGTTCAAGTTCACCAGTTGCTTCTCAGAAATCCTATACAGGGTCACTATGGGTCAGAACTTTTTCAACATCACCTAACAACAACAACAACAACATGTGCACCAAAAGAGTGAAATTGGAGACCACAGACTGGTAAAAATTTTTTGCAACAACCCATCAGACAAGGGACTGATATCTAAAATTTATAGAAAACGACAACACCTCTAAATGAAAAACCCAAAGAACACAAATAAGAAATGGGCAAACGTTTGGTTGTTTAAGTTATTATATATTCCGGAGTGTTTTTGTGTATATTCCCTCAAAAACAAAATAAAACAAAGCAAAAAACCAGGGAATGAAAGTAAATACTTTCGAATGATGACGCAAAGAGGAAATTGCATTCATTGTAATGAACCGATGAGTGTATAACTGGTGTTTTTCCATGTAAACTATCATTCAATTCACAGTAAAAACTTTTTTTTGTATAGATGGAAAGAATCAGGCATAAAGCAATGTGTTTATAAGTAAGCAGGTCATGAATCTAAAGGTAGAAGATAGCAGGTAATAACTGGAGAAATTCTGTGAGCACAAAGAACAGTTTCTATTGCACTGACTTAGACTTCAGTATGACTTTGAACAACATTAACGTTCTATTGCACATTAACATTAAAAATATTAACATTCTATTTCACATTAACATCTATGCACTGAGTTAGACTTCAATATGAATTTGAACAACATTAACAACTGCTTGCAGAATTGTTTCCATGGCATCATATACCCTATGTTAGCAAACTTGTCCAGCTAGCAGTAAACAGAACCAGGAGGTGGTATAAGCAAACTGGCCACAGAGTCCGTGAATTTAATAAGCTATTAGAATGTAATTTGAAGGCAATTTGTTTTACTTGAAAACGATTTAGTTAATATAGATAAACATATAAAAATTAGTATAAATCAAAAACATACAAAGAATTCTCTCTGGCTTCAAAAACACTGCCAGCAAAACCCTGCTAGCCTCTCAAATATGATTTTTCTCCCATTCTCAGTCTAAGTCATCATTCCACCACTTACCAAGGAATTGCTCTTGAGTCAATATTTGATTTCCTATTATTTTCCAACAGGACTAACAATATATGCATTGCAAATGGCCTTACATCATAGAGATTTGAGTTTCACTTAATTTTTCCTGTTTCTCAATGATGTCTAAATATAGAATGTCCTGTTGTGGGTATCTGGGAAAAGGCACATTTATACAGACTTATTCAGAAACCAGAGCGAAGACGAAAAACAGAAGGACCAGTCATCAAACTTACCAGATTTTGGATATGTGACTATGAAGACATCGTCATCTCTAATTTCAAAATCTTCTAGATTTTCTAGTAGGTCAATATCAACTGTAGCACGCTGAAAGTAATAGCCTTTGAAATTCAATAAGTATGTGTCTGTGTCATCCATAATTATTTACCTACAAGGAAAACCAAGACATTCTTTTCAAGTTCTCAGTGTTTTATAATAATGAACAAAAAGATGGACTTAAACAATGGAAGCAATAATGTTCTCAAACATGACACAATTGTGAGGATGGTGCAGGACCAGGAAGGGTTTAGTTCTGTTGTGTATAAGATTGCTAAGAGATGGAACTGACTCAACAGAACCAAAAAATAACAAAAACAACACTTATTCAATGCTTAGTGTGTTCCAGGCAGCATTTAAATATCTCGTCTTATCAACTCATTTATCATAGTAATGATTTTACAAATATCAAGTTATTTAATCTTCACAGCAATCCAGTAAAATAGGTGATGTACCATTATTATTTTTTTAAAGATGAGGAAATTGAGATGCTAGGAGGTTAAGCAACTTTCACTAAAAACAGTGCATGAGGTATTCTTATAATTTCAAATACACAGATGAAGACAATAAGTCACAGAGATACTAAGCAAATTGCTCAAATTTGCCGAGCTAGCAGAAAACAGAACCAAGATGTGATGTAAGCAAACTGGCCACAGAGTCCATGAATTTAATCATTTCAGTGTAAAGGTAATAACTATTTTCTATTTTTATATATTGCATTATTTCATTATTTTGGCTATAAGCTCTTTTAAGACAGTATTGCTACCCACTAAAGCAGGATGAAGAACACTGACTTGTGGACTATGCTATGTCCATTGATACAGGTGTTTGTTTCCTGAGACTACTGTTCTAAATTCCCAAAACTCATGACTCATTCCCTGAAGGTATTTGGTGATGACCAAGGAATTTTCATAATAACTTTTTCTCCAGTATGTTCTGCTGTGTATGTGGTTATATTTTCAACACATATTAATAAATATATGGAATTTGGTAGAGTGCTGTAAGATAAGCACTGGATTACTAGCCACAATGCTAGCAGTTTAAGACCACCACCTGCTCTTTGGAAACCCTGACTTGAAGGTACTTATCAACAACAACAATGAAAACAGTAATAAATACATCTATAGAAATATCTTTTTTCAAATCTATATGTATAGTTTCATTCATCTTCCCATCCACAACAGTTTCTATTGTCTTCCTAAGTACCTAATTATAGATTATTGTTTATTATTATTGTTATATCAAGGCTGTGTATGTAACAGTATTTGCCTTTGTTTCCTTTAAGTGTTGAGTAGTTCCCACTATCTTCTTATACCTTGGTCATATTTTACTGTCCTCCTCCTTACTGTATTTTGCCTTTCCCTTCATACTAGTGAATCTGGAGTCCTGGTGTGGAGCTGTAGACTGAGCACTGGACTGCAAGGTCAGTATGAACTGCAAGGTTTTTCAAACTTACCAGCTGCTCATCAGAACCCCTATCTTCTCTGTTAACCATCAAAGAAAGTTTCATTCTGTGCATAAATTTTTTTTTTTAATTTTTATAATAGAAATTACATACTTTATTTGTTCCTTTTTGATAGAATTATTACTCAGCATAATGTCTTCCATGTTTAACCACCTTTTTAAAGTGTTTCAGAGACTCATCAACATTTTAAAATATTACATTATGTGCATGTATAATAGGTTTTCATTCAGTTATCTATTTCTGGATACTTATGCTGTGTCCATCTTTTTGCCATTGTGAATAATGCGTGATGAATATAGATTTCTGTCACAGCTCTTAGTTCTTTAGACTATATACCAAATAGTAGGACTACTGGGTCACATGATATTTATGTATTCAATGTTTTAGGGACTGCAACACCACACTTCTCAATAGTTAGATCATTCAACAGTCTCATCAGTAGTGTGTAAGAGTTCAAGTCTATCCCTTGCTCACATTTATTATTTTCTGTATTTTTTAATATTCCTATTATTACTAGGGTAGTGATATCACATGTTATTGTTCAGTTATTTCTTTTTATCATATCTCTATGCAGTTCATACTCTTACAAAGCTATAAATATGGCTTTTGTCTAAATTGTATCTCAATAAGCAATACTTAGTTTCTTTACAAATAATCTAACTCACCTAAACAAAAGAATAAAGTCAGGGGTTAGGTTATTACTCTTATTAGAATAGCCTGGACTACTCATAAAAATTCAGGGCTGTGGGCCTTATTCTAGACTGGTAGAAACAATTCATGGGGTGTGTTACTGGGAAATCTACATTTTATCAATACCATGATCCACACTGAAAAATAAGCACAATAATGATAAAGTATTATTTGGATTACAGATGAAGTTTTACCTCAACTTTGGAACTTGATGTTCAATTAAGAGACACATAACCCAATTGAACTGCTAGACGAGTTCTGCTCTCCTCCTGCAAATTCAAAGCCAGGCAACCTGAGGCATTGAGACTTGGACATAGAACAATGTTACTGATAAATTATAAAGAAGGAGTTCAATTGGGATATATGGAGAGTCAGCCAGTACATACAAGCATTCTGAACATCGTTTCTTTTCTTTGTATTTGTCTATTGTTATTAATATGTTTGGTCACTCAACTAGCATTTCTTTCACCCACAAAGAGGGAACAGATCATACTAGTTGTTGTGTCATAGGGGTAAGTGGGGTGGGGGAGGAAATGAGAGCTAATCAAGCAGCATCTTTGATGTGGAAGTCCCATATTGTTTGCATCTCCATGAGGAACATAGGAAAATGTGGTTTCATAGAGATAAGACATGTGTCATATCTTCCTTCTACTTTTTCATAGAAGTTCTAGACAAAAGGGGTGAGGGAGATAGAAAATTGGAGGAAACATGAAACAAAATACACTTTTCATACTTAGAAAATGATGAGACTTGAAAGATGTTCTAAGTCTACTCACAGTTGTATGTAACAGTATTTGCCTTTGTTTCCTTTAAGTGTTGTGTAATTCCCACTATCTTCTTATACCTTGGTCATATTGTGCTGTCCTCCTCCTTACTGTATATTGCCTTTCCCTTCATACTAGTGAATCTGGAGCTCTGGTTTGGAGCTGTAGATTGAGCGCTGGACTGCAAGGTCAGTGTGAACTGCAAGGTTTTTCAAACTTACCAGTTGCTCATCAGAACCTCTATCTTTTCTGCTAACCATCAAAGAATGTTTCATTCTGTGTATAAACATTTTTTTTTTTACTTTCATAATAATGATTTCATACTCTATTTGTCCTTTTTTGATAGATTTATGTCACTCACAGTTGAAGATCAGCAGATGCAACAAAATCCACGTCTTTAAAGTTTTAGGTAGGGGGGAAACCGATGTGGCAATGAAAAAAAATATTCCAACAGGATTTAGTTTGGCCAACGAGTCATGTTCTTGAGAATTAGCAGTTGGATTGGCTTTGATAAGATGGATAATGTTCTGTTGAGACTAGGAAAAGGATATTAAGTTACTCCAGAAAGCTCAAGGGAATCAAATGTGTCAGAGATACTCTAGAGATCTGTGAGTTAACATAAGCCGCATTTACATAACTTTGGCAATAATACACCTAAAAACAAGAACATTTCAAAGTGTACTACAACTTAGAATATTGTCCTTCCTTGGGCAAGAGGGATACTTAGAAAAATGTTTTAGACCCATCTTAAAGAACTGGTGGTCATTTTCCAGGTTTTTATATAAATCATTTTAATTTCTTTTTCTGTCACTTGCCCCAGTTTCTCTTGTTAAATTGGCTATGGTGATAGAAGGTACCAGGAGCTTTACAAAATTACCGAACATTTAAATTCATTTTCCAATTTCAAGAGTTGTATTTCCTAAGCGATGCCCTTCTTCTGCTAGCATTTTCTTGAAAGACAAACTTTATAGAAAAGTCATCTTGTCTTCATTGTATTTTATACTTGAATGTCATTAATTGTTCTCAATTCTGACTCAGCGACCCTGTATAGGGTTTCTAAGGATCAGCTGGGGAGTATAAACTTCCAACCAGTCCACTGGTGATCCTACAGTACCTCACCAGGAATTTTAAGTGGTGTTTATTTCACACCTGTCCTAACACCTTCCCCATACTCAGCAATTTTCAGTCACCTGTTCACTGATACACAGTCTGTACTGATGATTCTCAGGTTTCCACTCCATACAGATTATGGTCTCAGAAGAATTATTAAAAATCTTTGCAATGTTCAAATCCTTACTGGTAAGGAAATAGGATTTAATTGTCTGAGGACAATTTCAGTTTATGAATGTTATCTTTCTCTTGTTTCTCACATTCTTAAATTAAGACAAAAATCCATTTTCAAGGGCTGCATAACTGGATGAGCAGCAAACAGCAGGAATAGATGTGATGTGTATGTAAGAAGTAAACTCACTGGCAAGAGTCGATTGTGATTCACAGGGAACATATAAGACTGAGTAGAACTGCCCCATAGCGGTTTCAAGGCTATAAATCTTTACAGGGCACACTGCCACATCTGTCTTCTTCAGAGCAGCTGATGGGTTTTAAACACTAACCTTGGAATTAGTAGTAGAACACTTAACCATTGTACCACCAGGGCTTCTAGGTCATGTTGCTGTTGTTGTTGTTATGTGCCGTGGAGTCGGTTCCGACTCATAGCGACCCTGTACAGGGTTTCCGAGGCTGGAAGTCTTTACTGCAGCAGAAAGCCTCATCTTTCTCCCGCGGAACAGCTGGTAGTTTCGAACTGCTGACCTTGCGGTTCGCAGCCCAATTCGTAACCAATATTCTAGGTTATAAGTAAATTTAATAAGATGAATTCCTCAGCTAAAAAGTCCTGTTTTCTAACATGAAATGTCATTGAGACAGTGATGCATAGGACCTTTTAATAAAGTTGGGATCTTATCCCTGTTCTCTCCTCTCTCTCTTCCTTTCTCTCTTTGAGTAGTACTCAACTGTAAGACTTCTAGATCACTCTATACCGACACCAGAGTGGAAAAGATAGTGCTGCATCTGTGACTTTTACCAAAATGATGATGTGACCAAGGAATAGCATTAGTTGCCTTAATTCCATACCAAAGATTGAGATGATGCATCTAGCAGCTCAGCACATTGCTAGAGCTTTT